TCAAGAAATTCAGCAAGTCCAAGCAGTGTTTGGAACTTTCCATATGGAACCGGCTTCGTGAACATGTCAGCAGGATTATCCGCGGTGCCAACCTTCTTCACCTTAATCCTCTTCTCTGTCCTCAAGAAATGATACCTCAAGTCTATGTGCTTAGTTCTCTCATGATGGACTTATCCTTGGCCAAGCATATTGCACTCAAATTGTCGCAATACACCACTGCCTGATCATGATGTAGACCCAAATCACCAACCAGTCCATTCAACCATATTCCCTATTTAGCAGCATTTGTCAACGCCATAAACTCTGCCTCAGTAGTAGACAATGTCATCGCCGACTGTAGAGTTGTCTTCCAGCTCACTACAGAACTCCCAAGAGTGAATACATAACCGATCATCGATCTCCACGTGTCAACATCTCCAGCATAGTCCGAGTCTGAATATCCAGACACCATGCACTATGTATCACTTCTGAAGCTAATCCCCACATTAGATGTACCCTTAAGGTACTAGAAGATCCTCTTCACAGCATGCCAATGCTCCTTCCCAGGTTGTATCATGAACCTGCTGACAACAGTAACAACATGTGCAAGATCAGGTCTAGTACTGCATACGATAGCGTACATCAAGCTACCTACTGCACTAGCACATGAGACTCTCGACATGTACCCCTTCTCAGCGTCTGACTGCGGTGCATAAGCTGAGGATAGATGAACATTTGAAGCACCAGGAGTATTCAATTGCTTTGCTGAAGACATGCCAAACCTTGACAATATCTTCTGGATGTAGCTCTTTTGTGACAAGAAAAGCTTCTTCTTTGACCTGTCCCTATAAATCTCCATACCCAAAATATCTGAGCATCTCCCAAATCCTTCATCTCAAACTCAGCACTGAGAAACCCCTTTAACTTCGAGATATCAGACTTTGACCTCGCAGCTATGAGCATATCATCCACATACAGAACAAGATAGATCATCGAACCATCCTCCACCTTGATGTAATACACACAACAATCATATGGACTTCTTCTGTAGCCCAGCTTAAGCATGTAACTGTCAAATCTCTTGTACCACTGCCTCGGAGATTGCTTAAGTCCATACAAGGACTTCTTCAGCTTACAAACATAGTGTTCTTTTCCTGGAACGTGAAATCCTTCTGTCTGAGTCATGTAAATTTCTTCCTCCAACTCTCCATGTAGGAAATCTGTCTTCACGTCTAGCTGCTCGAGCTCCAAGTCATAATGTGCCACTATTGTTAGTAGCACCCTGATCGAAGTAATGCTGACCACTGGTGAGAAAATCTCATTGTAGTCAACTCCTTCTCTTTGCGAGAAGCCTCGTGGAACAACCCCAACTTTAAATTTAATGCCCTCTTCTGAAGTGATTCCTTCTTCTTGTAGATCCACTTGTTTGTAACAATCTTCCTTCCCTGTCGTCATTTGACTAGCTCCCAAGTCTGATTTCTGTCATGGGATTCCATCTCATCTCCCATTGCGGCAAGCCACTGATCAGCTTTGCCACGCGAAACTTCTCTATAGGACTGTGGTTCACCTACATCCACTTTTTCAGCAACCTGAAATGAATACGCCACCACATCCTCAAAGCCATACCTTTCTGGAGGTATTCCTACATTCGCTCTCTTCGGTCTACTGGAAGTCATAGACTGTTGAGCTCCTGCACTGGACTCTAAAGTTTTTGGCTCTGCAGAAACATTCTCATGTTGATCTTCTCCACCTTGGTGCTCAAACTCACTCTCTTTGAGAGTTTCCAGCTCCACCTGCTTATCAACATTTCTGCTACCTTCAATAACAGTAACCTTCAACATGGGGTTAAACATAGACTTCTCATCAAATATCACATTTCTACTAAGTATAACTCGATGCTCAGAAGGTGACCAGACTCGAAATCCCTTAACTCTATCTCCGTAACCCACAAATACACCCTTCTTTTCCATTTGGTTCAGTTTACCCTCATCCACATGATAATAAACAGGACACCCATAAACTTTCAGTGAAGAGTAATCAGCAAGCTTACCATACCACACTTCATAAGAAGTCTTACAATCTATACCTATGTGAGGTCCACGGTTGATCAGGAAGCATGCCATATTCATAGCTTTTGCCCAAAATCTTCTCTTTAGCCCAACATTAGAGAGCATGCACCATGCTCTCTCTAACAATGTCTGGTTCATCATTTTTGCACGCTATTCTGCTGGGGTGTATCTCTAACGGTCCGATGATGGGCAATCCCTTCATCCTTGTAGAATTTGTTGAACTCAAAACTGCAAAACTCCAGACCATTGTCCATTCGCAGCTTCTTGATCTTCTTACCGGTCTGATTCTCCACCAATGTCTTCCACTACTTGAACTTCGTGAAAGCCTCACTTTTCTGCTCTATCATGAAAATCCAAGTAAATCTCGAATAATCATCAATAATAGACAGAAAATACATGCTGCCTCCAATGGATTCAACTCGTGAAGGACCCCAACAGTCGGAGTGGAGGTAATCCAGTATCCCCTTCGTCCGGTGCATATCCTTCTTGGGAAACTTGCTGCGATGTAGCTTCCCAAACACACAATGCTCACAGAATTCTAAATTATTCACCTTGTGCCCGCAAAGAATATCCCTCTTCGATTGAACTTGCATCCCCGGTTCACTCATATGACCCAGTCTCATGTGCCAGAGAGTGCTCATATATTCCCGATGAATCTAAGACGATGCAACTGCAGCAGAATCTGACAACACATTTCCTTGTAACGCATACCAGGTACCACATTTAACGCCTTTTAGTACCTTCCTCGAACCCTTGCAGACATACACAACTCCACCTTTTCCTTTGAAATAAAACCCTTGCTGTCGAGTAGACTCAATGAGATCAGGTTCTTTGTCATTCGTGGAACTTTCCTGATATCATTCACAGTACAAAACGAACCATCATGTGTCCGAACCTTTATGGACCCGATTTCAACAACCTTGCAGACAACTCCATTTGCCATGACCACGTTACCACCATACATCTGCTTGTAGGTTGTGAAGTAATCCCTGTTCGGAGATATATGGTAAGAGGCTGCAGTATCTAGAAACTACACATCACCACGATGTTACTTTTCATCTACAACCAAGGCGAGATCGTCTTCCGAACTGTTGTCCACTTCTGCCATGACAACTGAACCTTGCTTCTTCTGTTGCCCTCTTCTCCTGGGACAGTTGTAGTTCCAATTCCCCACTTCCTTATAGTTGTGACAGGCATCGCTTGGCTGTTGTCTGGGACCCTTAGATTTCCCTTTACCTGATTTCTTCTTTCCCTTTCCACTTGTGACAGCCAACCCTGATGCTTCACCACCTATACCAGATCCGGACGCCTTGTGTCTGATGTCTCTCGTGTGAATAGCAAATCTGACATCCTCCAACGACAAGCTATATTTACCAGCAATAAAAGAATCATGAAATTTTCATATAAACTCGGCAAAGACACAAGTCGGATTATGACATCATCTTCATCATCAACTTTCACATCTATATTGCGTAAATCTAACAACATACAATTAAGTTGCTCCACATGTTCCCTCAAAGGCGTACCTTCTTGCATCCACAAGCTGAACAACCGTTGCTTGAGATGCAACTTGTTGGTTGGAGACTTAGTCATGTACTAGTTTCAACCACAAGCCCGCGATAGTCTTCTCAGCAGCGACTTCAATGATGACGCCATCAGAGAACGATAGCATGATGGTCGAGTGGACCTTCTCCTCCAGGGTATTCCACTCATCGTCATTGACCGCTGCCTTCTTCTGTTTCGCAGACAGCGGCTCCCACAGCCCTTGTTGTTTTAATAAAGCTTAGCTTGCATCTTGATTTGCCATATAGCGAAGCTGTTCTTTCTCGTGAACTTCTCGATCTTCATGTTCACCGACGTCATTCTTCATAATCGAAACCCTAGCCTGATTTCCAGCCACGACTCTGATACCACTTGTTATAACCGTGCTGCTACGGATCGGGAAATCGCCAGAATCGACAAAGCAAGAACAACGAAAACAAAAAGCACACAACACACGATTTAAGTGGTTCACTAACACAATGTGTGTTAGCTAGTTCACGGGTAGGAGAGCCAGTTTCACTATATCGAGGAGATTACAGAGGAGATGAGAAGTATTTATACTCCTCCATGTGGGTCTAAACCTAATCCAATATGGTAAAGAAAACGGTTACAAACCAGACACAGAACCCGAACCCAAATACGATTAATTATAGTCGTTGCGGCTGATAGTCCGATTCAAGTCACACAAACATTACCAATTATGATTAATTACATAACAAGTTTGCAAGTCATACAAATTTTATTCAACATTTTGACTGGTTTTTATTTATTTTAAATTAAGTATATATACGAGATAGAAAGAAATTGGTTAAAAATTAAGAAAATATTTTAAATTAGTTTAATAAAATGTAAGTTGCTAACGAGTAAGGAGTACGTTACTCGATGCGGTGACCCAAACAACCCGCAACTCGATCAGACCGCAACCCGACCGAACCAAAATCCGATGAATTCGAACCCGATGAACCTGCAACCCGACTAACCCACAACCTGTTTGAACCCGAACCGGATAAATCCGCAACTCGATGAACCTGCAACCCGACCCGACTAACCCGCAACCCGATTGAACCCGCCCGATTGACACCTATAATTTTATGTAGTAGTTTGGGCATCCTCAATTTGGAGAGAATAATGAAATTAGTTGCTGAATCCCCATTTGCTAATTAATGGTGAAAACTCCGGCTTGAGATAGGGTCAGTAACTGGCGATTACTGACCTGTGAGTAACCACTTATGTGTCGTTGATTTGGGCAGAATTATTGTGTTGTTGGGATTGACGCGGGGTGGGGAGTGGCACTTTTGTCCGGTTTTTGAAATTTTATTTCTTTCATTTTTCCTATTTTTCTAGTATTTATATGTTGTATTTTAATGGAGGAAAGAGAAAATCAGACTTTTTTCTTCCTCTCTCTTTTCTCTTTCTCTTTCTCTCTTCCTTCTCTCTTCCTTCTCTTTTTTTTTTTCATATCTAGATTTGTTTTCTTCTTTTGTTCTTCATTTTTTCTCCAACAATTGACAAAGAAAAATTGCAGCATCCCGTCTCAAATCTAGTGACGCTCCAAATCCTTCTTCTCTGCAACTGCTCATTCCTTCTGTTCTTTCTTTTCTCGGTCTCAAAATAGATGACGCTCCATATTGACCAAAAGGGGAAGGATCTAGGTGAGTCGAGTTTGAATGTTTTACATTTTAGTATTTGTTTGTGAATTTTCAATTCTTTCCTCCTCTTTTCTTTTTAATATGTTGCATTTTCAATTCTTTTCTTCCTTCTCTCTTCCAAACTCTTTTTTCCAGATCTAGATATGTTTTCTTCTCTTGTTCTTCATTTTTTTCTTCAACAATTGACAAAGAAAAATTGCAGCATCCCATTTCAAATCTGGTGACGCTCCAAATTCTTCTTCTCTGCAGCTGCTCCTTCCTTCAGTTCTTTCTTTTCTCGGTCTCAAAATAGATGACTCTCCATATTGACCAAAAGGAGACGGATCTAGGTGAGTCGAGTTTGCATGTTTTATATTTTAGTATTTGTTTGTGAATTTTCAATTCTTTCCTCCTCTTTTCTTTTTTGTTGCATTTGGTGTTCTTGATTGCGGAGGAGAAATGAGAGGAGACAAAAGACACGTTTTTTTTCTCTCCCTCCTTCTGTTTTTCTCATTTTAGGTAATATATATTGATATTACCACACTATATCATATGGTAATGTGTGCTAACTAAATGTATTTTTATGGTCACGAGTTTTATCATGGTGGTAGTGGGTGGTAATCGACTCCAGTTCTGAGAAAGAAGAGTTAGAAGACAATGAAGTTGGAGAAGAAAGTGAAAAGAGTCATAATTATATATATATATTGAGATTACTACACTATACCATATGGTGATGTGTCTATACCATATGGTAAAGTGTGGTAACACCATATGGTAAAGTGTGGTAATGAAATGTATTCTTATGGATATCATGTTTTACCATGGTCGTAAAGGATTGTAATTGGATTTATATTATTTTTGTATGGTTTTACCTTCTCATACCATGTGGTATTGTATGGTAATTACATTTAATTTGTGTTCATTCGATTAACCATGTTCTACTATCACTATGATGGTATTGTATGATAATTAGATATATAATTTTCTGAACCATGTTTTACATGTGGTGGTAGTTGGATTTGTAATTTTATTTTAGCATGTTATACCATATGGTATGATAATGTAAATAGATTTGTAAATTTCTGTAGCATGTTTTACGGCGTTATACCATGTGGTATACTGGTATTGTATGGTAGTTAGATTTGTAAATTTTTTTCAACGTATTTTACCACGATAGTAGACAGTGATAATAAATTTCATATTTGTAATGACTATCTTTAGCACTAAATTATTTAACGAAAAAATCACCATTCAATTTGATTTGAAATTTGAAGAGAGATAGCTCGGATGGTTAGATTCATTTTTGTTGTAGATGAGAGAGAGACTAAATAATGTATATTTTTAAAATAATAAAACAAAGAGTAAAAGAGAGGGAAACCAGTGTGGGGTAGGGGAGTGGCATCCAGGTCAGAGCGTCAGCGTCAACATTAAATATGAGGTACAATTTACCCTATTACCCCTCTGTATTTAATTTTAATAAAAAAAAGGCTAACACGTGGGGTCAAGGAAAGAGGTTACTAATAGTTACTGATGGGAGGATTACTGAGTTGATCCGTTCCGGAAAACTCCACACACAATTAATAAGTAATCGCCCATGTTACATGTTTTGTTTATTTGGGAAACATGCGATGTGATTGATAATAACTTGGGTCATAGGTTGTCGCAATAAGGCATAAAAAAGCCATTTACTTTCTAAATCATTCATCCGAAACAACAGAAAAAAGCAGTATGAGTTTTGCGGTTTAATCAACAGCCACACAAATCCAAGATTGTTTACTGGTATAGTAAATGAGAATGAAAAATAGAATCATAATTAAATCTTAGAAATTTGATTACTATACCCTATAATTTTCTCTCATAAAATTGAAGTTTAGTTCATAATCATAGAAAACAAACCAACAGATAATGTTGTTTCAATATACTCAAATTCAAAACAAAAGTAAAAATTATGAATAAAGTAACTCATTTCTCTATAACTCTCATTCCACAATTATCCATATTACTGATTTTCACCCTTATCAAAAAATTATCCATATTACTGGATTCTCTAGATCTTCGACCTCAGGCGAGTTTGTGTTGTTTGGAATACCATATTTTTTTCTTGATCAAGTTCAAAAATTATAACACCCAAAGACATTTTCTGATAAGGTTAAATATTTTTTTAATATCTCATAAATTTTTCTTGTACTTTGTCGATGTGAGATTTGTTTAATGTGTACATTAAATCTTCTTCCTTGTGACTCAACCTCCTTGTTGAGGTTTATCCTACCATTGTTCAAAAGAGACGTGAAAAGACTCCGACACTTGTAACACCCAACCCTCTTTGGGCCTAGTTACAACAATATTTGCTTTTTGGTGTATCATGGAAAGTTTCTATAGAGCTTACCCAATCTTTATATTACTCCATACCAAGCACGTTTAATTTTCATTTTTCGGAAGAACCCATCTTGTTAGTTAAAATCAAATTGTTTCTTATAATCCACGAATCTCTCTCTTACGTTGACTTCGTCACATAAGTACCCAAGATGTTACATTGCCTTCTCTTTGTTTTTCTTTCAAGGTTGTCAATCTGTGAGTCGACCAATGGGTTGACACAGATTGACCCTTACCCGGAGAGGAAAACGGGTGTCATACCTGGATCGGAGGTTACAAGACGTCATTTTTTCTATTGGTTTGCGGATTGTGCTACTTTACTCGTTTTCTCATTCGTCTTAACATATCTTTGAAATTCTTAGTCAAACATTCGAATATTAATGTTATATACGTAAGTATGAATTTCACTATAGGGCTAATACCAATAGGAAACCCGAACTATTAAATTTGTGCCATTTGTGTCCTAAAGTATCTGATATGACATTTGTGTCCTAAACTATTTTTCCGTTAGAGTTGACTGGCGTTGACCGTTAGTTTTTAACAGAAAGTCCAGTCAGCGTTGATGTGGCATCTGGCATGGAATTTTAATATTAATTTTTAGTTACTTTTGCATCTAATAAAAATTTTAAATAAGAAAAATTAAAAGTCTTCGATGAATTGACGGAATCGCAGCTCGCCTCCACCGCTGCACCGCACTTCGCCTCCACCGCTGCACGCCACCGTTGCACTTCGCCTCCACTGCACTGCACTTCGCCACCTCCGCCGCTCGACCACTCTGACAGCCTCCACCTCTGTCGTCTGGGTAATATACAGCCAAATCCAGCAGCCATCGTCAAAACCATCCCCTGTGAATCATTGTCGTCGCCCTCTACTCCTCCTTCGACTTCTTCCTACGCACCCACAGCCGTAACCAATCCCGCCAATCCTTTGTTGTAACTTGTAACCATCCTTCACCATCTTCTGGATGTTCTGCCCTGCAATTTGTTTAAAATCCCTAATTCACTTCAAACCTTAATTTGTAATAGGGGAGAAGCAGGTGGTGGTGTTGCATCGGAGCACCCCATATGAAAGGGTTTTGGGTTCCCGGAGAAGAAGATGCAGATGAATGACGAAGGAATCGATGCCTCCCATCTCACCGATTTTGGCGAAAGACTGGCGGCTTGTATGGAAGGGAACGAAGAGGCGAGGGCGGCGGTGGAGTCGTGGTATTGGAAGGATTGGGGGGTTTGCAATTGGGAGTGGCGTAGAGGAAGACGAGAATGTTGCCACTTCGTCTTTCCATCACGACTAGCCCCTGCTTCGAACTTTCAAGCCGGTGAGAGTGGCGGAGAGGAAGACGAGAATGTCGCCGCCGCTCCCTTCTTCCTCGGCGGAATGTGATTAGAAGAAGAAGAGGAAAACTTATGAGGGTTTCTTTTTTATAATTTTATATTGTTTTTTATTTTTTATTTAATTTGTAATTAATAATATGTGGTGTCATTGACGTGGAATCTACGTGGCTGCCACATCAACAAAAGTCAATATTAATGTTGACTTCCGTTTGGTCAACCGTTATCTATAACAGTCAACGAAATCGTCAGGACATAAATGACACACAACTATCATACGTTGTGACACAAATGTCATATCGAATACTTTAAGACACAAATGACACAAAGTTAATAGTTCGGGTTTCTCAGTGGTATTAGCCCTTCACTATAATACAAACTGTTATTTTGTGTCAAGTTATATGTTATTACTTATATGTTAAATGAGATTTAATATAATTTATAAATATATGAAAAATATAATAATTATATATATATATATATATATAATTATTATATATATATATATATATATGGTGGCGTCTTCGGTGCACTCATTTTTTTGGGTGCACTGAACGCACCCACTTTTTGATTTAATCCTCATCGTTCAATATATCTAGCGGTTTAGAATAATTGATAATTTTCTAATTAATTATTAACTAATAAACTATTTTATATTTATTAAACGAATTTATAGTTATTGATAATTGCAATTAAACCCCTAACATTAACCCTTTCTCTTCGCCGTTTCTTTTCCCCGCTTCCACCGTCAATACTATCCCAGTGGCAGGCGACGAATAGTTTGCAGTGCCCGACATCGTCGTCCTCCGCCACTAAACCGTCTCAGGCGATTCCGGCATGCTCAACATGGAATCAGAGAAAATAACTTTTCGTTCTTGATTTGGTCGTCTCTTTCTAGGATTTGGGCTTACCATTTGTTTTACTGGGCTATGATGGATTAAATTACAAACAAGCTTTGCTGGGCGGAAATGAAATGACTGTGAGTATCGCTCTCGGCTAAATCAGCACAGGCACCAATATGTCATCCATCATGGATTCGCCAATCTCGATCACATTCGCTCCCCTGCGTACCTGCGTATCACTCTCCAAGAACATAGCAATAAATCACAATTCCGTATTTGCACAGATGTGAAGACTCTCATGGCGGTGCAACCGTACAATGCAATGAAATATACTGAAAGATCGTTTCAGAAATCCTTGAAGTGGATTATATTGTAAAAACAGATTGGTTATCAGAAACAGAGTCGACAGAACAAAACTACGAACATTCTCATGCAATTCAGGGTTTTCAGCAAACCAAAGCGCGCAAAATCTTCCGCGGCCACAAAATTCATTCGGAAATCGCGAATTCCGAACCCACTCACCCTATCCCCAACTCCCTCCACCGGCACCCCCTTTCGCCGATTTCCCAGACTTTCCCCACCATCCCCGCCAGCTCGCCCATCGCCGGATCTGTTCCTGGCGCTACTCCTTCCAGCAACGTCCCCGTCGGATTCAACAGAGTCTTCGTCGCCTTTCCTCTTGCATGCTGCCAATTCCATATTTCTCTCCTCCTAGCTCCGCCGCAAATCATCAGATCTGATGATTCCGCGAATAATTCAATCAATCAACGGAAGGCCGATATGGATGTAAAGAGGGTTGGATTGATCGGAGACATCGAGATGGAGGTTTCCGATCATGGAGTCGGCGGCGCACTGACATTCACCGGCCCACAATTCTTCAGATGGGAAGAGGAAATGCAAAATAGAGACCAAATGTTGTGTTATTAATTTGAGGGAGGAACGCTAATCGGGAAGCTTCACGAAGGTTGGGAAGGGAAATAAATGTCTCTGTTGGTGAGAGGAAGGAGAGGGGTTAGTAGAAGAGTGGAAAAGGAACGCGGACAGGAGGGTTAACGTGAGGGATTTAATTGCAATTATTAATAAATTGAAATTAGCTTAATAAATATAAAATAGTTTATTAGTTAATAATTAATTAGAAAATTATCAATTA